GCTTTCTCCCCCCCCCCCCCCCCCCCCCCCCCAAAAAAAAGCCAACAGCTCTTTGTTTCCATAATCAAAGTATTAGGAAAGATTTAGTCAGTTTTCTTTGAAAGTTTGCAGGAGGGAGGCTGCTGTTACCCTCCGTAACTACATAGATTATAATAGGACTGGGCGAAACACCTTCCAAAGGGTTAGATCTGGGCCACCAAGCCACTGGATCCAGCCCATGGCCAGACTCAGGCAGACTCCCTGCTTGCCCCACCCCTGCATGTCATTCAGAAAGGTGGCTGCTGGTCCCATTGTTTCACAAACTGTGAGCAGAGAGGCGGGAGAAGTGGTGATTCATTGCTGCTCCCGTTCCCAGCACAATCCCATTGGCTGGTTTCTAGCCAATGGGAGCAGCCTGTTACGATAACAGGCAGCATGTGAAGCACCACTCCCCAATTCCCTCAGGCTCTACAGCCTATGCAGGCCCAGGCTCCTGCTCCTGCCTGAGAAACATGCTGGGCCGCTCACTGGGAGTCCCACAGGTAAATCTCCCGGCCAGAGCCTGCCTCTGGCACTCCAGCTCCTCCCCCACTTACCCCACATAAGCCAAACCCTCTGTCCCCCTCCTGAGCCCATATCCTCTCCTAGACCTTGAACCATAATCCCCTGCTCTAGCTCACAACCCAAACCCCTGCACCCGAGTCCTGTGCTCCAGGTCACAACTGTCTCCTTCACCCAACCTCCCTCACAGGCCCTTCTGCACTTCAAACCCTTACTCTAAGCTTCTTTCTTCACCCAACGTCCATCCCAGCCCCCGCACCTCCTCCATTAATATCATGGAAGAGTGCAGCCTTCAACCACTTTCCAAAATCTTGGCGTAGCCTCCCCATCAAAAATTATTGCCCACTCCTGGCTTACAAGGTACATTAGAGTAGCTCTCCTTTACCATTGACTCTTATACAGGGGGTTGCTCCTGCCAAGTCTTTGTATCAGTGCAGGCATGCTTTAAACGTGTTTTCCCTAAACAACTAAGGCTCTACTCTTTCATACAGTTCATCACAGGGGGCCTCCTCATTAGGCTTACTGCAGAATTGGAACTTTTAACTGGAGTATTTACACTTCTATAATAATCAGCACAGCAAGGTCTTGTGATTGCTTATACTGCCAAACATACAGCTATAAACCAGTTTTTTAAAAATTCTGAGTGCTCTCTGGGGCATGTTATACAGCCACATCAAATAGTTTTACTGAATTTGTTTCTGGAGATTTCATCCAATTCAGGCGGTCACAGAGAGACTGGTATTTGTTGCCACAGTTCTCAGTTAGAAGTTGATCGGCACTCAACAGGAAAGTGTTACCTTTTCAGCTCAGTGTCTTTATTGTTCATTGAGAATGAAGACTCCAATTGGATTTGACTGTAACTGCAGTAAATATATTTTCTCCACGTAACCTTGCATTGCTTCTCTAGCTCTGGTTCTGCTGAGGAAAAGGTGAGACGCATTTGTTCAATTTATTATGCAGACAGTGTGTCTTAAAATTATCCAGCTGTTTTATATGTATATAATTTTATTTTGTGGCTATGTTAGCAGGCTTTGCAGATGTACTTGGCAAAGGAACAGCTACGTAGATTTTAAATATCTAAGTGTATTGGGCAGCTTGTTTCCATGTGGGGATTGACCTTGCAGTCTCTTCTGCATGTTAAATATTAAGAGTTTTCAATATTACAGTACTTACAGGTGTGTATGAAGGAGGAGAGAGGCAGAGTCACAGAACAACACTCAAGACCTGCATGGCTTGTTTTACTAAATCCTTACACCTTTCTTGGGAGCTAGTCACTCGTGCATGAACTTTAGGGCTTCTCCCAGAGCTGGCTCTGCTGTTGAAAAGAGAACACCCATGTTAATAGGAAGATAGCGTTGGAAAGGAAGAAGAAATAATCAGGATACTGTGAATGATAGCCTGTGTTTCTGATTTGGATGGCTTGAAGTATCTGCAAGCAGAGTAACCCTATGGTAAAACTTATTTCTTCGAAAGAGGGCTAGGTAAGAGCAGCCCATGGACATAGGGTACTGGGTGCTATGTGTAACATTCTAGGTTCAAAGAAGGACCATGCAGCATAACAGCATGTATCAATAGAGTGAGAACCACTTTATTTGCTCTGTGTGACCAATTTATTTATTTTTTGTAAGCTGATGCTTTCATTCTGTAAGTGTTGCATTCTCTAATCATGAACTGGGCTATTATATTAATCTGATTGACACAAGGCTGCACCTCTGATTATATTTAAAATTGGACTAGACTGTTCTGTTACCTAGCTTATTAACGTGAGACCCTGGGTCTTATGAATTTATTTTCCTTCCAAATACTTATAGCTGCTTTACACAACTAAATTCTAGTTGCTTGGACCTGTGCTAACATGATGGGCCAATGGAGTATGTAGTTTCTCATTTAGAGGGGAGAGATATTTATGTGTGCTCTTTCCTAGTGAGAGAATTGCAGCATTTTGTTGGCAAAGATGTGAGATGCTTCAAGGAGAGAAGTGAAAAATCTGAGTTTTCATTGACGTACTTTGAAATTAGCAACTGAAACATTTCACCAAAAAAATAGTTTGCCAATAAATTATTTCCCTTAGTGTGATAGTCCCTCTAATTACAGCTTTATTATGAATACAGCCACCTAGTGAAACTTCTGGACAAATTCAACATGAGACGATACAATGGTATAGTGAGGGAAAATCAAAGATATCTTTCTGTGCACTGTAGTTATCTTGAGGTTTGTTTCAAGTCCAAAGTGTAGAACAAATTCTTTCTAAGTGAACCATTTACAATTGTAGAACAGCTTGGGAAAATGCCTGAATAGTTTAAGCTGGTGAATGTTTATGGTATTATTCATGCAGAACAGTTAATTGAGGAGTTAAAAGTTTTGTGTACATTGTGTAGTGGGATACAGTCGGATACTTTTAGTAGAATAATAGTTTTGTGGTAACAGCATTAGAGAGTTGGAGAATCTGGTTTTGTTCTGGGCTCTTGCAGAGAGTTGTGTGACTTTATGCAAGACACATATGGCCTGGGTTTTTACAAGTTCTGAGTATTTGCAGCTTCCACTGACTTGAAAAGAGATACCTCTTCAGAGGGAGTTGTAGCATGTCTAAAAATCAGACATTTAATTTCTCTAGTCT